CTGAAATCCGGCTCAAAAACTCTCAAACGGGAACCCAATTCGAAGCCCCGTCTTCTCCCACAAGTCTCCTCGTGCTAGGCGGTCGTGTGTGCCAGTTTCGTTGCTTAAACGACGCCGTTTTGGTGATTTTGGGGCGTTAACTGCCTCGAATTCAAGTTTCTCTTAAGAACTAGTTTGCCTAAAGTGAAAATCCGCTCTAACTCCCAAACCGAGAACCCGATTCGAGCCCCGTCTTTCCCATAAGTTCTGCTCGTGCCTAGGCGGTCGTGTGTGCCAAGTTCGTGCTGCTAAACCGACGCCGTTTTTGGTGATTTTGGGGCGTTTAACTTTCTCGAATTCAATTTCTTAAGGAACTAGTTTTGCCTAAGTGAAATCGGCTCTAAACTCCAAACCGGAACCTGATTCGAGCCCCGTCTTCTCCCACAAGTCTCTTCGTGCCTAGCGTGGTCGTGTGTGCCAAGTTTTGTTGCTAAACCGATGCCGTTGGTGATTTTGGGGCGTTAACTCTCGAATTCAAGTTTCTTAAGGAATAGTTTGCCTAAAGTGAAATCCGGCTCTAACTCCCAAACTAGGAACCCGATTCGAGCCCCGTCTTCTCCCAACAAGTCTCTCGTGCCTAGGCGGTTGTGTGTGCCAAGTTTCGTGCTAAACCGACGCCGTTTGGTGATTTTTGGGCGTTAACTCCTCGAATTCAAGTTTCCTTAAGGAACTAGTTTGCCTAAAGTGAAATCCGGCTCTAACTCCCAAACGGGGAACCCGATTCGAGCCCCGTCTTCTCCCACAAGTCTCTCATGCCTAGGCGGTCGTGTGTGCCAAGTTTCGTGCTAAACCGATGCCGTTTGGTGATTTTGGGGCGTTAACTCCTCGAATTTCAAGTTTTTCTTAAGGAACTAGTTTGGCCTAAAGTGAAATCCGGCTTTAACTCCCAAACCGGGAACCTGATTCGAGCCCCGTCTTCTCCACAAGTCTCTCGTGGCCTAGGCGGCGTGTGTGCCAAGTTTGTGCTAAACCGACGCCGTTTGGTGATTTTGGGGTGTAACTCCTCAAATCAGTTTTTTAAGGAACTAGTTTGCCTAAAGTGAAATCGGCTCTAACTCCCAAACCGGGAACCGATTCGAGCCCCGTCTTCTCCACAAGTCTCTCGTGCCTAGGCGGTCATGTGCTGCCAAGTTTCGTGCTAAACGATGCCGTTTGGTGATTTTTGGGGCGTTAACTCAATTATGCAAGATACATTTTAGCTTAGAAGCAAAGATACATTTTATACCTGATCTTCTGATGGTGGTGTATATGGATTCTCGTCTTCTGCAGAATCCCTTAAATGCCCGGTGGCCACTCGATGCATCAGGAACCTATGATAGTCAATACATAATGTTGTAATCATATTCGAATTTTATACATAATCTGTGTTGAAAATTGAACTATCAACAATTTAATTTATATCGAACCTGTCTGTTTGGGATCCACACTTGCCCCCTGTGACACAAGGCCATCATCTCAGCCTCTCATATCTACTGTAAATGTGTAGAGAAACTCTGCTCGCCAGCCTCCCCCTCAACTCATCCCTTAGCTCTGCACGAACCTTCTGCGTGATCTGATCAATAGTCGATGGCTGGGGTGCTGATTGTGATGGCCCAGCACCATCTTTATACATCGCTTTCCGAGGCACAATTCTCCCGTATGTGCACAATATCCATGTCCGTCATGACCTATCAACTCATGGAAAATGGCATTCCAGCCTCCAAAGTCCGACCATCTCAGGTAGCATAGAGAGTTGACGATTAAACTCATTCCTGTATTGAATAAACATACAAGTATATGCCAAATTAAGATGGTTGACACACAAAAATAAACTTTAAATACAATCAAAGGTGTTTGGAAACTACCAAGGTCTGAATAACCTCTGGGTCATCTACTCTTACGTGTCATAAGCCAAACATTTCATCTTATCAGTAGACCCCCCTTACTGTCATCTGCATTTTTTTAAAATATGAAAATTAGAATGTAAATAATTTGTAAATGTTGCAATGTTTATTTATATACAAAAATAAAACAATAAAAATGTAAACCTCATGCCGTATCTTGAGAGAAAGTAGTACGCCCTGTGGTATGAGCTATGCCGTGAGCTCGCGATTTTTAGCGTTCCTACTTGCGATTTTCTATAACAGGTTCGACAAATGTGAGTATGTAAATATGATTTGTATGTTTACATATCATAAATAATACTTATTTGTATACCTCAGCATCGGAAGTACGCCAATACTCCACAATTTCTTCCCACTGGCTTGGCACAATGTGCATAGGAAACATCATCCTTCAGATTAGGATCAGAACTTCAGGCTTGAAATACTTAACCTTTAAGCTTGTTCTTGTGATCCTTCATATGCCTGTTGCCAGTTTTTCAATGGCCAGATTGGCTTGTACTCCTCTGGACATATATTTCAAATGTTCCTATAAAACACAATTTCAAAGTTTAAATAATAATAACACAATTTGGAATTCGAATTTGTGGACAAAAATATTACTTTTACTTCACATCCTTCCAGATAGCATCAATATATCATCAGGCACATTGTTCAGTCAAGAAAAGTAAGAGGAACAATGTCACATTCCGCACAATAATGCAAGTTGAGTAGTTAACTTAGCCACGTTTTACCCTATGGGCAGTAAGTTCCATCAAATTGTACGTCTTAGCTTTTACCCAGTACCCTACTCTTTAATGCCCTTGGCACATCCTCTACCACGCCTAGTCGAGGTTGATGAAGAACTAACATGACCTGTGAGATACAATAACAGTAAAACAATATGCAATGTAAATAAACAAATGCAAATTTTAAATAATGTAAATACAAATCATATCAATAAACCTGAGGTGGGCTGTGAAGAAGTCGAAGGGTCTGCAAAATACAATGAGAATAAAACAAGTTATATATAATGAGCATAAATAAATGTATGTTTAAATTATTTTCATACAAATCAAAGCAAATTTATATACTGCGGATGGCTCATAAGCTGCTATGATGATAGCTGCTGTGGTGCGCACTGGATAGTGGACGCACCGATGGTAGGCGTGGAGGCTGAGTACATGGTAGCTGCTGTGGTGCCACTAAAGGCCCTCCGATGTGGCCGATGTGATGCTCCTCTGATGGTGGTGGTTACTTGAGTCCTGTTATGTAGCACATCAGACATCATGCGCCGGCGATGAATCAGGCTTCCTCTTCCTTCCCATAATAATCTGCAAGCAATATAACATTAATTGACATTAGAACATAGACAATGGTTTGTCGTCAACTATAATATGACATTAATTGAACTAATACAATTACAAGAAAAAAGTAAATTAAGAAATTGATGATTAACTACAACCTTGGCCTTTAATTAATTACTAATGTTTCCACCACTTCAGGCCTATTTTGAAACATCAGCTGTTTTCCCTTCTCAGCTTCCCTCACCCAACCAACTTCTTCATCACGAAGCATTATATTTCTTCCAATTGTTTGGCTCATGTATGGCTCGATTTGTGGATCAGTCGAACTCATACAAATAAACCTCTTTGAGACATCTTCACCACGACTTGCAGTCCGCGTTGTAACGGGTCTGCACATACCAAACTTGCTCTGCTTTGGGACGCCAAGATGAAAGGTTCATTGGTAATTCGATCATCTCGGTACAACAAATGATTGAAGTTCACCAACGTGAAATTGAAGACATCTTCTTTCTTTCTGTGAATGTTGTTAATACAATCACACTTAAACAACACATGTTTCTTCTCATTGGAAATATCGATCTCAACAATATCTATCAATTGTCCATAATAGTACACAGACCACACGAGGATTCTTGTTTCTTTTTGACTAGCATAACTTATGGTATTTGCCTCAAGCTACACCACAATTTTGTGTGGCTCGACGATCATCCATGGCCTTTACTCGATACGAAACCCATTCAGTATATACCCGTTTTGAACCTCCTTGCCAAGTTATTGAGGACTCATTTGCCCATAGAATAATCTCTTTCAGAAAATATGACATCAGTAGTCCTTCGCAAAGTTGGACCTATTTTACACGAAAAATATAAATTAAAATGTAGTTCGACTTAAGTAACTAGAATCTATTAGAGTTAAATACATACATGTTCCTTGAACCATGTGAAAAGTTTTCAAAACGTTCACGCCGAAGCTGATGATCGTCAACACAGGCATTTTGAGCTTAAGTACTTCAAGGTGTTCGCTGTGTAGATTGAAATTTTAGCAATACAAAATATTTTGTAGAAAAATTCAATAAAACATAATAAAATATTGAGTGAGTGACTTAGCCTACTTTATGAATGGTTGAACCGCGTTGTATTGAATAAGATGTTACCGATGAGCTTGTAGTGGCAACGCAGATTCCTCAGAACAAGAGTCTAGCCTCAACTCAATTGAGGGCACAATGGCAAAAGAATTGGTAGCCCAAAATTAAAAAACATGAGTCTTACCCTCGAGCAACTTCTCCAAACATTATCCATTTAACTTGAACCCATGTCCTATGAGTCACTAAACCACATGATAGTAAGCCCCATATCACCAAATTAATGAAATTTTTACCCTCCAAGAAAACCCAATATAAGTACTTATTGTCTCAAACTTGACAGAAAGGTATATTAGGGCCGTTTGGTGTAGCTGTTAAAACAGATTATAGCTTATAGCTTAACAGATTATAAAAATCTTTCCATGCAAGGGAGTCAGCAGGATGCTTGAAGACACCGTCATTAGTTCGTTCCTCTGCATGTCATCTCATTAACTTGGTCGTCTTGGATGACATAAACAACCTCTGCAACCTTGGCTTTAAAGGAAAATACCTCATCTGTTTTGCAGCTATTTGTTTGCCACCTTTGTTAGGACCATTTGAACCACCATCACCATTTGATTTCCATCTAGAACTGTTGCATATGACACATTTATCAAGATTGGCGTCCTCGTTTCGAAACAACATGCAACTGTTGGGACATGCATCCCACGTCTCATACGTGAAGCCCAAATCTGTTGTGACCTTTTGAGCTTTATAATATGAGTCCGGGAGTTTCACACCCAACGGGAACGCCTCATTCAATAACTCAAGCAGCATGTCAACAGACTTGTCTGTCCACTGATTAAGCACCTTCAACTGTAGAAGTCGAACAATGAATGACAAAGAAGTGAACTTCTGACAACTCGGATACAATTCATTTTGTGCATCTTGAAGAAGTTTGAAATACTTTGCAGTCTCTGCATTTGGACCGAGTTGGGGTTCAAATGCATGGGGATCAGGGCCCTGTGGTTCATCACCCTCAATACTTGTATCGGCATGTGGATTTCCCATAACCCCTTGTATCATTCCAATCATATCATCCCCAATGTCTGAATTAGCTAATGTTTCATTCTCTCGATTACCATGCAGAGATACGTAAGATTCCCCATGATTAATCCAATGTTTGTATTTTTTAAAAAAACCATTCAAAATCAGATGCTCCCGTACACCCTCTCGTACAAAATAGTATCGATTCTCACACTTCCTACACGGACAACTGATCATCGAACCTTCGACCCTATTGGTGTAGGCAAACACAAGGAATTCATCAATCCCATTAATATATTCGCTCGACATCCTTTTGGAAAATCGATCCAACTCTTATCCATCATCTGTACACATCCACAAAAATATCTCATCAAAGTAACTCTAAATATAATACCTACGTATTCATGTACCATGACACCTATCCATCCAATTTCTCTCAAATAGGTAGGTAGTCTTATCCTAGTTAGTTATTTACCGATTTAACAGAAGAACATAAAAAATGAAATACTTATACAACAACACGTGAGATCAATTAATTGAAGAAAAAAATGATATAATTTCATACTTTCTGAGTCATAACTTAAAAATAAATAAATCATAACCAAACACCACATGAGGCACAACCAAAGATCTTATAAGTCTTAACTAAAACAATATCATAATTAACGAAGATAATTCATCATAACTAAAGAAAAAAAAATGACATAACTAATGATGCATATGATAAATGGATGTGTATGGTAGAATTCTCAAAAATTATTTAATAAAAATGGATCATTATTCTGTATATTATAATTTTGAACATCACATACATAATCTTATGTAACAAAGTAGAATAAGAAAGCCCAGTCCAAGTTTCTTTTCTATCTATATATATATAGAGGCCCAATTACTTTCCATACTACAAATTTCAAAATTTATGATTCCAAAATTTCTCTAAGGATAGGTTTAGTAAACTAATAGCACAAAGCTTTGTTAAACAAATTTATGAAGGCAAGAGTTTGTTTTTCCAGGCTTGCCACATAAGATATCACACAATCTGAACTTTCACGATGAGTACTTTCTATTGTCTGCAAAAAATAATTGTAAGAAGTTGGTAATAACTGACTACATTGTTTTATCCACTTGTGCTAACATACATTACAAGTTACTAAGCTTACCAGCCTTATTATCTGGTGTGACCGTGAGCTAGTGTCATTTAGTGCGATTTCACCCACTTGTCTTTGGGCTACATTTAAAAAAAATTAATTAAAAGGTTAAGAAAATGCCACTCAAGACACGTGCACACAAAAAAACCAGAAGCTTTAAATGTTTACCCTCGTAGATACTGATCAAATGTCTTAAATGTTGATCATCATTTGTTGTTTCTTCTACCAGCTTCCGAACCATAGTTCCTTTCTGCATCCAAGGAATTACAGGAAACAAATATTAGCACGGAGAAAAGACAGAAACATATGGTTCCTATAACTATGAATCAGTATGTATAGGTTTCACCTCTGGAGCATCTAAAGCCTTGAGGTTGCGTCCAGATTCTAAATTCAAGAGGTCCCTGACATTCTCATTATAGATTTCCAGCCCAGAATTCTTTTACAAAAGTCTCTCTCTGGAGTCTGTTATGAAGCCAAACAAACATATAATCAGATTGAATGCGATAAATTAAAATATATATGTGTATATATATATATATATATGTTAATATTGAGTTCCCTACATTGGTCAAGCATAAATTTCCACAAACAAATGGAAAGTTTTCACCATGATTTAGGGATGAGGTTTAAGTGAGTATTTATCTATGCCCGAACCTGATAAAAAAACTGAATTACATAAAATTAAGTATGATGAAGCTTACATTCACTATGTGCCTATAAATATCATTAACAGCTTTCTCAGTGATTCCTCTCATTGTGTAGGTTTTCCCACTGCTAGTTTGCCCATATGCAAACATTGTTGTTGTAATACGAGGGGAAAAAAAAAATTGTTTAACATGTATAGATGTAATTTCCGAAGTAGTAGCAAAGATCAAAATAAAAAAAAGAAAAAAAAAGAATGATAGATGTAAAGGAAAGCATAACCATTGATGCCATTAAAGCAGACAAAGCAACATTCTTCACTCCTTCCTCATACACTGCTTCTGTTAAACAAGCAGGATCAAAGACCCTATCTAAATGAAGAAGCTTTGTCAACATATATATATATATATATTGATACAGATTTATATATATATATACAGATTTAATAATGTATATATTATCAATATATATATATACATATATACGATACAGATCTGTATATATATATACAGAGAGAGAGAGAGAGCATACCTGCCGTCCTCGCCGCAGCAGCACTGCACGACCGCACCACCGTTCGCCGTTCGCCGTTCGGCTTTGTAGGTTAGGGATTTGGATTATGTTTTTGATCGAACGGCAAGATGAATAGGGAAGGGGGCAAAAAAAATTTCACTTTTTGCGACGGTAGGTTTTACACCGTCGCAAATGGCAAGTATTTTATTTATAAAACGGCGCCGTTTAAATTAGGCTTTTTTGCGACGGACAATTGCCGTCGCAATAAGTAAACTATTTGCGACAGCAAACGTACGCCGTCTCAAAACATTTCTTTTTTGCGACGGTAAAAACATCCGTCGCTAATACTGATTCATTTACTCCCTATCCGCGCATTTTTTATTACCGACGGGGATAACGCCGTCGCTAAAGCCTTCATTTGCGACGGTTTATGTTGCCGTCGCAAAAAACCATTTTTTGCGACGGGAAAACCGCCGTCGCTCATGCTTCCGTGTTTTTTACCCCCTTTTCTTGTAGTGAGGCCTCAACCAAAAATAATGTGGGCAATGATAGAGCAGGGGATTCTTTTGTTCTGATTAATTCTGAGAATTGGTGTCCACATTTTTGTTTTGACAGGTTTGTTATTGATGGGGTGTGGAAGGAGCATACGGTAAAGGTGGGAGCAGCGTGGGTTGGTATGGATCCACAAGGAAACCAATTGGCTTGGAAGAAATTTTATTTTGTTGCAACGTCAGCTTTGATGACTGAGGCCAGAGCTTGTTTTGATGTAGTAAAATGGTATGTGCTGAACAATGTTTAAGTTTCTAGACAGCATGTAAGGTGGCTCATGTAAGAGTGGCCTTAATATATGATGTTATCTTGTTATTTCTCCAAAAAAAAATTTAATTTTTTGGCTTGTTATGATGTAAAAATGTTATTATTATTATTATTATTATTATTATTATTATTATGTCATTCTAATAGTGACTTGTCATTTTAGCATAACCACCTTCAACCTTATCATTATTCAATTAGTTTCTACATGATCCACTAATCAACTGGAACATTTCCTTGATCTAGATGAATATCATGTTTTCGATTCTTTGAAGAGATAAATTGTAATTGGAGCAATTTAATTTCTGTAATTACAAATTTTAGTATTATTATTTTTTTGTAATTTATAGATTTTTTTTTTTTAATTTTTTAAGAATGTGAGTGTTTGGGAAGTGGGTTTTTTTAGTTGTAGGATATTATTGGAGAAATTTTTTTTTGTGTTTGGGAAGATAGTTGGGTTTTTTTGTAGTTGGATGTGATATTTGTGAGAGAAAAAGTGAAATGATTGTAGAATTTGATGTGATATTTTGTTTGGATTTGTTTTTTTTTTTAATTTTGTAACCAATTTGTCTTTTAGTGAAAAAAAAAAAAAAATCCTAAAAAATTTGTTCCCAAACACCGCCATTGTGTGATCGTGAGTTTTGATTTATGCAAGTTGTGATTGCAATAAGAAAAAAAATGATTTTTTTTTTTCTTTCTAGAAAATGATTTTGCTAAACTTTGAGTCAATACAGTACAAAATTTAACTTTGCCATTTCTTATTAATTAACTCACTATTAAACATGAATATTTGTCAGATCTAACTTCTTTTTTTAAAAAAAATAAATAAATAATCTTGTAGCTCGGCCAATGGAGCTGCTTTTAAGCGTTTTAGACATTATTCCCATCTTCATTGACATTGCTATAGAGTAATTTATAAGCACCCAGTATAATTATGAACATAAATTTAATTGTAAAGAAAAAACCCAAGTTTTTTTTTTTTTTTTTTCACTAGGACATTAATATTACAAAGCTAATTCAACAAATAATTCATCAATATCTCTCAACTGTCTGAACAAACCCAAACAATACTTTCACACCCCAAAAGAATATATCTCAATTGCATAACTACTACACATATAGAGCAACTAAAAATGGCAAACTAGTAGAAGTACTTCAGAGCCATAGCTCCAAACAGAGCCATCAGCAGGGAAAGTGAAAAACTGTGAGATGGCTCGGTGGCTGACGGGGTGACAACTGGCCGAATCCCTGAATTTGAAGTTGGAGCATCTGATGCCACGGTTGGAGGAGATGGAGTGAGGTCAGAAGTTGTATCAGTTCCCGGTGCCAATGCCGGTGACACTGGTGTGGGCACAGTAGAACCTGCCAGCCAAAAGTATTGGGAGACATATCAATATATGTGGTAGCGTAATAGTATTGGAAATTAGGTGTTGTGATCATCAATAATTTTTAAAATTATTAGTTGGAAAAAAGTGCTTTATAACAGCCGAACACTTACACGTATTAAGAACCATCTGATACATGCGATTTTCATTCCAACCCGTATAATGACATGTATCAGTATTGGAAAGACAAAAATTTAATAATTATCATTTAAAACTATAGATGGCTTCAAGATAACATATTTGACCTTGAGAGAAGTATGTATTATACCTGTAGGACTTAGAGAAGGAGCCCCAGGGGACATAGTTGGACTAAATGCAATGGGGCCTGCCATGGTTAGTAAAATGAATGTTAGCTTATTCAAAATTGGTGTACAAATCAGTATGTTTTTGGTAATTAAATTAAATTATGATTACAAATCATAGGATAAAAAAGAATTTGAATCGAAAATGGTTACCTGGAGCTGGAATTGGAGCGGCAGAGGCTGCAATTGACCAAAAAGCACCAAAAAAAAATTCAATCAGCAACCTAAGTAAATTGATAAAACAGAGGAAAAACACCAAGAAAACTAGTGTGGTCTAGATTCATTCTAGCCTAGGTATGGATTCCACTATAAAATAGCTGAAGGTAGACCCCACACTATTTTTCTTGGTACAATTCTGAATTTGAGTTCTTGGTTCTGAAGTTCTCACAGTTGCACTTGAGAGGTACGCTGGGCATATTGCAAGCGCGAGGCAGGGAGATGGCCAGGGTCCGGTTGATGGGTATTTGGAAAGGGACACTTCCGGTGGCAATTAGGCACAGACAGCCTGTGCCGTTGCTCATGAGGGACTTAAGGGAATTGCAACAGGCTGGAGTTGGCGTCGTTCCATTGGCGGTGCTGTTGGTGATGAAGTTCATGCAAGAGGTGAAAGTCGAGAGCATAGAAGCCGTGCAAGGGGATTGAACCTGGCCACGGACCGTGATTGTCAGAACAGCCAAAGCAATTGCTAGAAATGGAAGGAAGCGTGAAAAATGCTTGAAAACTGCCATTTGTATGTGTAAATTTAAGGTAGGATGGAATTCTAAGTTGTAGAAGGTGTTGATTGATGGATTTGGAATTTGATGATGTTTGGAAGAGAAGAAAATGATGGAATTTATAGATGGAAATTTTAGCGGGGAAGTGGAGCGAAGAAAATGTAAAGAATTGGATTGGGTATGGAGCTCAACTACCTTAACTAACTTTTTGACATATGGGGAGCTTAGGTGTGTGTTTGGCAACTTGTCACCTATTTTTTGGATTAATTTTGTTTGGAAAGCATTTTCGACTTTCTATCACTTGAGCAAAAGAAAACAGATATCCATGTCCCAATACTCTCATGTCCCTCTATCTCAACCCTCCTCTTTACTCAATTTTGATATATCATGTGATAAATAAGTTATTTTTTCATGGTTAAGAACCACCATTTTATTTTTATTTTAGTCTCAATTACTTGTAGTTATCTTCTTCAAATAAATAAGACTTCCGATTTTACATTTTTACATTTTTTAGGAGCCGAGTCCTGAGTTGGTTGAAAATTAGGTATCATTTATGTTGGCCATTATAGAACCATCACGTTAAAAAAATTTCCCTAATTACTTAGATGAAGAAAAATTCAAAATTTCACATTTTTGACTTGAAAAAGGTGGTCAGAAGTAAGTAGAATATCAAGTCCTAGCTTTGGTCACAAGCAAGGATAATCATTTGGTTCAAACCCAGGCCCAAGCTTGTAATTTGACCTGTCCGGACAAATCTGAATAAGTCTTGGACTAGGCACGTGCCTAGGCCAAAGTATTGAAGCTCAAGTAGGTTTGGATCTTGGCTTGTAGCTCATCTAAACAATGAAAAATTATTAGATGGCCTTGGACACCATGTAGTAATGCTTTTATCAATTATCAAATATCATATATTAAATATTATTTTTTTTATCAATCACAATATTCTTGGAGCACTTCACCATACTCAAGACTAGTAAATAACTTCTCCTAAACTGGCCCATTAAATAGGGTTTCTCGTTTGGCAAGTGCCTCTTTTAGTCAAAAAGTCAAAAAGTTACTAAAAAAATAAAAAAACCAACAACACATACCAAAAATTCAAAGATTCTCTTTTCTCTCTACTTTTTGCACATCTTTTCGTAAAAAGTCAAAAAGTCATCACAAACATACTAATTTTTTTTACATCACATTTTAACCAAAAAGTCAAAAAATTACTAAAAAAGCCTGTTCCCAAACGAGGCCTCAGTTGAGACTAAAATTTTTGACTTTAGCCCACAGTGGACTTAGACACCATTTTTGTTACCCAACCAAACTCACTCTGATATTCACCCTTAATCATGAGCGATTAGCAAGTTTAGTGGTGAAACTATTGGAATTATGGTTTTTTATAGGCTTATTTTGGGCCAATTTTGAACTCAAATTTGAGTGGGTCCCACACGCCTTTGGGGTGGGACCAAAGATGTGACGTGTTCTTTGCCACATGGCAAGTCACACGATGAAGATAGTTCGTCAAAACCATTTATAAGTGAATGAGAAGTTGACGTCGTTTTCAAATTCGTGAAATGGACAATTAAAGAAGTAAAATGTGAGTTTCCTTGAAATGATTGTTACACATTGAAACTTCAAGAGAACTTATGTATGTATATAAGTTTTAGGTGAGAATATTTGGGTTGGGCCCCACGAGGCACCCCAAGTTTATAGAAGGAAGGAGTTATGGACAAAGTGGGCTTTGGCTCAAACCACTACGCGCGCTGCCGTCAAATCGAGCAGTGCTGGGTCTGGATCGGGTCGGTCCTAATATTAATTTTTTGGACAAAATTTATTTGAATTTTTTTCAAAAATTCTTATGGGAAAATATTTTTTCTAAAAATTTGAATTCAATTTTTCTGTCCAAACAGTGCCTTTTCTAGGTCCGTTTTCCAATAGGTTCAAACAGTTCTTTAAACCCATTTCAAACAGTTTGCACCCAGACAGATTCAATCTCCTCCTAGACATATTCAAACTTGTTTCAACAGGTTCAATTCAAATTCATACTTGTTTTAGGTTAAGTAATACTTTTAATGATTCTTATATATAGGAATACCTAGCAGAGTATGGCAAGATACTCTTTCATAAAAATCACTTATGTGAGTGTGAACTGGGCCAATTCTATGAGATTTGTGAAGCGCTACAATTCTCTAGAGCACTCATGAAAGACCAGGTTGTTTAGGGCCAAAATGAACACTATAGTGAGAACTAAACTGTGTCTGGTAATATACTTTGTGAGTGTAACGCCCCGAAAATAATACAATAATCCATCCACCATAAGTGTTATATGATAACAATAACAACAATAAAGTTATTTTCCATTAGTTCAATATGATATACAAAAGAGAAGCATATACATCATATATTCATAAAGCCTACCCTTGAATCTATAGCATATGTTTCCAAATAAAAGAGAGGAAGAAAGATAAACGGATAAAAATGCCCTACAGGGTTTCAACATTCCAAGACGACGTCTGATTACAAAAAAATGAGTCAGAAGCTCAATATAGGTAAAGCCTTAGGCTTGTACTAAAAGCAAATAAATACAAATGAACAAAAGTGAGCTCTTAGCTCCACAATCCTCCTAAGTTAAGTCCTTGGCGGAGGCATATCACCAGTACCAGAAAATATTTTTTCCATGTAGGGTGAGTCAAAGTCCAGTAGAAACCATCTATCACAATATACGAGTCTTAACAAAACTATAAGTATGGTGCGCATATACAATGTCTATGACAAATGATTCGTGATATTATAAGATCATACTACGCCAAGTTTTACATCTCAAGCCGTTTTAGTCTTACTTTAGTTCATGGCAATTTATTTCATCTTAATCCATGAGTTAAATCCCTTGTTATCCAAACAATCTAATTGAGATTACATCCCAATAATTCTCTACCAATACAATCATCACATAGACAATTTAATCTGCCATTTTACGGAAATTTCGTCCGCGGGAATTGGCAACCATGTATATATGTGCGGTTTTCGGGACTTTCACCATAGACACACAGGCCAACTTAATTCAATGGAATCCATCCCCTTTCTCCTTCTAAACATGGAAGACATCCATTTCTCCTCCCAAATATGATTCATATATAATGTATTAACACATAGTCATATTCAATAACAATTAATACGAGATTAGTTTCAATTCACCTAATCCTCATGCAATTTCTATAACAATCATAGCTATCCTCCATCGATAGCCCAAAACAGATATTTCTAAGCAGTTATACAAACTTCACAATAGATAAACTATCCATAGGTAAACTATCCATATGTCCATCGATGAGAAACGACAATTTTCCAACTCCACCATTTACATACACATTTAACCAATTTCACTTGTGTTGAACCAATTCCACGATTTATACAAAACAACCATTTGAAACATGTTAGGCCAACACCTCACTTCCTCCCAAATACAACCTATTTTCCAAAATCAACAAGTTTAACAGAACACAACATCACCTCATATCCCTTTTAACACCTCTATTTGAAAACCCCTCTTTTTTATTTTAAACCAAAACCCTAGGTTTGTCTAAAATCACCCAAATCCCAACATTTATTTGCATTATCATCAAATACCCAAGCTAAAAATCATACCAGAGTAAATAAGGTGTCGACCCTTCCAACACTGGTGTCAACACCTGGAGCAAAAAAAAGGAAAAAGAAATGAGTATCAATACCAGCAAGGATGGGTCAGCCCCCGAAGACAAAACCAATCAAGAAGAGAGAAGACCGATCATCACGACTATGATTTTCCTGATTCAAAAGTAATAAATGGGTCGGGTCTAAGCTCGGATCGTTATAACCTCCCCCCTTAAGGCATTTCACCCCTGAAATTTTAAAGCAAGTTTTAAAGCCATGATTAGACCAATCTCAACAATGATAATCAATCAATTTCATCACCACGACCCATTCTCCGGTTATCCATTTTCATCAACTCGATACACAAGTTCCAATATTGAACGTACAATTCACATTTTCTAAAACACATACAATGTTTTTTTTATATAAAATCCATGTTTCCAAAACATATATAACATATTCAATGTTTTCATATTCGCAAAACACGTATAATGCTTTCATATTTCATGAACATAATCAACACTTCAATACATGCTTAAACATCAACAAATAAGTCCGAATACTTCTCACAGAATTCCAACTCACGTTTTCAAGTTGCTTCCTCAACCTCGTGATGTTTCCGCAATACTTTAACTAAGGGAATTGTCTTGCCTCGCAAGACTTGGTCCCGGGTATTTAAGACCCTCACCGGTCTTTCTTCATACGAGGTATCCTCATCTACCTCTAAGTTGGTCCAATCCAACACGTGCGATGGATCTGGCTCATACTTCCGAAGTCTGCTAATATGGAACACATCATGAACCCCGAAAAGTTGTGGTGGCAAGGTTAAACGGTAAACTACCTTTCCGGCCTCTCAACTGGTGATAACCTTATCTAAGGTCTATCTTAGAAAAGCAACAAGATCCTTTTAACTGATCAAACAAATCGTCTATACGAGGTATATGATACTTGTTCTTAATGGTTACCCAAACCTCATCAAACCTCTCCTAGGTGACATTTTTAAGAACACATGATCTCCCACCTCAAAAAACAAAGGTCTTCTTTTATGGTCGGCGTAACTTTTCTGACGACTTTGGGCAGTGACCAACCTTTACGGATAAGTGCAACTTTCTTCGTCGTTTTCCAAACTAATTTTGGACCTAACATAGGTGCATCACCCACCTTGGCCCAACGCACAGGAAATTTACACGATCGGCCATACAAGGCCTCAAACGGTGCCATGCCAATACTCGATTGAAAACTATTGTTATAGGCAAACTCTACTAGGGGCAAGTGCCTCTCCTACGAATCCTTAAAATCAAGAACACAACCTCGAAACATATCCTCAAGTATCTGAATAGTACGCTCGGACTGCCTATCAGTTTGAGGATGATACATAGTGCTAAAGGTTAATTTCGTACCCAAGGCACTTTGTAAGCTCTGCCATAGTCGAGCCGTGAAACGTGGATCTCTATCCAAAACAATCTTCATAGGGACTTTGTGCAACC